TGACCCCCTGTCAGACCAGAGCTGTTCCACCCTGGATCAATGTGCTGTGGAGGGGATGGCTGAAGCATGAGAGTGCTGCAGCGGGGGGCTAACTGGCAGGCAGCCCCTGCACCGTAGCACCCTCGGGACCCAACCAGTCCCAGTCACCATCTACATGTACGTTTCGACACACATAGCTTCTCCGCTGTAGGGTGGTACTTGTCCCGGACAGTACTATCCTACAGCAGAGTTAATTAATCTACTGTGCCCTAATACAGGTGCTTGTGTCAACAGTTATGCTTTACTGAGGAGCTAACAAGGCAACTCCATAGTAAAGCACATGTGTCAATGAGCCCTATATGTCCTTTGTCTCATATCTATCTTCAGTTTCATTTAAAGCTATTTTGGATGACATAACTCTTATACCAGTTTCTTTGGTTCATTTTGTCTGTATATTTGCTTAGTTGGTTATTTGTACTGAGTATTTGTTTGTACCTGGGTACGTTCCATTAGGTGCCTAAGAGAAATAAAAATGTTCATGCCATTACAAGCTTGCACATCAATTAGCACTGTAAATATGAGTGGCAGTGGTGAGGCAGCATGTTGTTATTGCACTAGAAATAGGAAAGACTGGGAATGGAAATGGAAAAAATCTTAATATTGAAGAGGAGTGCAAGAAGGAAATCTTTAACCTCCCTTTAGCTGACATCATCTAGGAGATTGTTGCTTTAAACTAGGAGCCTGGATAAAAAAAACCCAGTAGGAGCAGGGGTGCAAGCATGAAGATATTTTTAGCTACCAGTCAACAGTTCAATGAGAACTCAAATATTTGAGAGTTAGGGCTTCAAGTCAGCAAAATACGTAAACACATGCTGGTTGGCATATCTGAGTTTGTATCAGCACCTAGACTGGGGTTACCACTAAACCTTGGGTTTGTTGCACCCTGTAGATTATGAGGCCTGAGTGCTGCAACTCTGTTTTTCTTCTTCTAGGCATTCTATAATTATTGTTCAGCTCCAAGGAAAGACAAGTAAGAAGCACATTTTACTAGTCTAGTTTAGATGGGACAAAAGCCATAGATTTATGAAGCAAAGATGATGCAGATTTTTCCCATAAAACTGATCTTATACTAACCATTTTGGTCCTTGTCGCATTTGCTAACATGTGCAACTGCTGACTTGGGTATATGTTTCTCCCACAGTTGTAGTCCTAAATCGCATGCATGAACAGACATATAAAAATATTCACAAAATTTTTCTGGTTATCAGTCTGGTTTGAGTTTTAACTATGCTGCCTTTCATTCAGTCTACAATAGATTTAGAAGTTCAGAGAAAGCAGTAATGTCAAGATTTAGTTCCAAGAGACAGCACCTGCATGACACAATTAACAAAAATAACAAAATCACTTTAATAAATGATTTCCTATTATGTTTTGTTCTGCCATAATAGGTTTCTTTAGTAGAGCTTGTTAAAACCTTTTTGGGAAATATTTTAAAAAAATTCTAGGGAGCTCCCTTGTTTGCTTTCACTTAAATAGGAAGCTTTCCAAGTTTTTTTTCCCCAAGGACAGTGCAAATTTAGAAAACTATTTCCAGTCATCTTTTTTCTTTATTTTTATTGTAAGAGATTCTGCTTTATAAAAACCTAAAGCTGATTAAAAAAAGACTGAATGTTCAGTTTCTAGGCTAGAGAGGGAAAATAGCATGAAAAATGTTAATTTTTGATGAAACACTATTTTTTGCATCAAAATTACTTTTTGCCATTTTTAGCCATCTTACATAACACAGATTCTTCAGTCAAATTTTATGCCCATTAGTTTATTGTCTACGTTTCTTTACTGTAATATTTTTTTTCATGGAGATGACTAGAAGCATATATTTAAAAACATAAAGGAGAGTGAACTGTTTGACTTCATTGGCTTTCACTGGGATTTGGACATATCATTTCTCTTTGTGCCTTTGAAATTTTCATGTTTCTCCTCCTCTAGCCACAGCAGAGAATTAAAGGGTCGGAGATTCGGCTACCAAATCAGGCCGAATCTCTGCCAAATCGAATCAGGGACCAAAGCTTCGCACAGCCCTACAAGCCAGGCACCCAGGAAATTTCTCAGTACTAATACCAGTGTACTGAAGACAACCTCCTATCTCTAGGTGTGTCCAAAGTTCCATACTTCAGAAGAAGGCAAGAAACCCCCCTCAGAAGCCAAATAATACCTCTAAGGGGTAAAACATTTCTTCCTGGCCATAGAAGGTAGCCAGTCAATCCCAGAATACCCCTCTCCTGCCTTACTGCTCTTTTCCGGCTCCATTTTGAAAGAAAAATATGGATTCTGTACCCCAACTATTTTATTGAAAAGACCATTCCAGAGGTTAACTCCTTTGATGGTTAGGAATCTTCTAATGTTTTATTTTAAGTTGTATATGATCATTTTGTGCATACTTGCTCTTACACCAATATGGGCCCTTAATGTAAATAGTTCTTCTCAGAGGTTCATGGGCCAAATACATTAATACAGAATAATCATATTCCTATAATACAATTTACCTAACAAAACCATGAACCATCACCTGCATTTCCTAAGACTCGGGGGGAACGTTCTCTGTCTAATATATAGTTTCCTTTTAAAAAAAATATTTACTGTAAGACAGCAAAGGCTCTCAGGCCTCAGTCCTACAAACACTGACACAAGTGAATAACTTAAAGCAGAGGTGTCAAATTGGTTGGAGGGTTGCATTCCTTCCTTTTCAGGAATCCATAGGCTGCACCTTTGCTCTTGTGCTGCCAGCCCTGGTGACACTGTGGGCAGAAACTCCACCACTGCCCATGATGGCAGCCAGCTTTCTACCCCATAGGGTCACATGAAGTATGTGTGTGTGTCTGAGAGAGAAGGAGAGAAAGTAGCTCTGCAGGGACTCTGTGAGTTGTGCATGTATATGTGAGACCTTGCACCCCTGTAGCCAGAGCCTGGGCGTTGGGGCTCTGGCCCTAGTGTCAGGGCTTCCCATGGCAGGAGCCAATGCCCAGATGAGAGCAGAGGCTCTGTGTCCATGGTCAGAGATCCAGAAAGGCAGCCTGACCCTTGGCTTTTGCAGGAACATGAGCAGCTCCACCAGGATCATGAGCAGAAGTTCCTCCACTGAGGGCAGAGCCAGAGTGGGATGACTCAAGTCAGTGGGTTGGATTTGACTCACTGGCCATGTTTGCAACCCCTGATTTAAAGTATGTAACTAGTCACATTGACTTCGATGAGAGTATACTTGCTAACTATCTACAAACCTTCAAAACTATTTGGTTAACCAGCCACAGGATAGTATTTAGAATAAACAGATTTTGTAGGATCAGTATTTAAGCCTTGGACTGTAAGGATAGCAGCTTCAGGGTGCATTGGCAATGCTGGCAAAACAGTTTATGAGCTAAAGAGAAAAAATGAGGGGAAATAAGCACAACTTTGTTTTCACAGCCAGGGTTTCATTTCTCAGTACTTGCAAGGGTTTCACTTACTATACTATAAACTAGAAGCCCAACGGGGTGGACAGTGACACATAAGACTTCACTTATTTGTTAAAGCTTTGGTTTGTTTCAGATGTGTTTCCATGTTTCTCCAGTGTAGTAGGCAACTGTCGATCCTCTGGACCATGGTGTGCGTGCAAGAGGTCTAGTCAGGTTCCCTGTGAATCTGCTTGTATGGAGTCCTGTGACCATCAGACCAAGACCTTCACACATACACCTAAGCAAGGGTATGGAGGAGTGGAAGCTGCCCAAGACCTACCATTCCTTTAGACCACCGAGACAGAATCCAAAGGCCAGACCGAGTCTTGACATTCAGTGCCTCGACGGTCGTAGCTGCTGCCAGAGACCAACAGATAATAACTGCTGCTGACTGCCTAACACTTCAGTGAGGATGCTTTACTGTCACGGTGATGTCCCTTAGCCTTTCTTCAACCAAGGGGTACCCACAGAGCAGTGGAGACTAGGGTTGTGAGGTTCCCTATATTCACCTTACTCTGGAGGTTGCAATCTTGTGGTATTTTATAGTAACTACCCCACCATGAGTAGCTCCACCATGTTGCCACAAGGCCCTCCAGTTCGATGCAGTTTACTGTCAGACCCAGGATCATCTCCATGCGTATTACAGAAAATAAGAACACCAATAGGCAGTTAATGAACCTCAGTCTAGCCTGTGAGGAATAATCTTCGAGCTCATCTTCTGACATGTTTCTATCCATCTAACAGCAGCAGTGTTTAAATCTCTTGTTTGCACTTTACTAGCTGAAGATTGTAAATGTTTTATGAGTCGCTGAGCTTGCAGCATTACTATTTTATTAGAACGTTGACTATCTTGTGTTCATTGCTGTCTTGCTAGCAAATTTTATATAAAAAAATTACCTTCAGACTTCTTAGGAATGACAATTTGATAGCCTGATGAAAGCTGTTGTTTCAGATCATTTTGTGTCGATGATCTGTTTTGTTGGAAGACCATAGCACTCCATTGCTTATCAAAACTAAAAACTATCACATTTCATGACAATATAGAAATGTTTGGTTCACAGAGAGGACAAGGTAGGTGTCAGAGCCTTGTGCTAATCTTAGGTAAGTGGGCTCTAAGGAGACGGAGGAAAAACTTGGGTCTATGGACCATTTATCTTAGAATGGCTGAACAGCAACACTCAATTGATATATTCAGCTGGTTCAGGGTTTAACCAGCACTAGCTGACACAGTGTTGACCACTGGTCTACATGAGCACTCAGACCTGGTTAACCTCTTGATACCAATTCAATGGATTGCAAATCAAATTTGAATTTGATAACATTTTGTAATGCAGATGTGTTCTTAAACAATGAAAGCTGAGTTAATTTGTTGGCAACGTTGCTGGACATTCTGTGTTGTGTGAGAAGCTAAGCCACTCAAAACAAAGAAGATAGAAATAAAGCCTCTTTTCCACTATTATATGTGGTCATGTAACAACAGCCTGCACCAATATATAGTCACTTATAATGCAGCTTTTTGGTCTGCACTACAAATCAGAAGCTGCGAAACAGGAGTAGCAAGATACATCGGACATTCTGGCAGCCATAGCAAACTACCAAGGGAGGGCTTTCAATGAAGTATCCTTAAAGAATGGGCATGAGTATAATTAAGAAAAGTTATTCAAGTTATTGCCTCCCTACAATTTTTTCTCTAGAATGACTACTGGGGAAACCATGTTCTCAAACTGTGTCTGGATGAAAGCCCAATTCAACAGAGGAGGAGAAAATGGTCTGATCATTCCCTGGCAAAAGATTTCAATGATAGCAGACCAGAGAAGTAGCTGGAGGTGTGTTACACAAGAGGTGGGTAGAGAAGGGTAGTTTGTGTGGGGTAATTCAAGGGCCTGTAGGAATCTTTGGATAAACTCTCCTAGCTGTGTAGGCATTTCTCCAAACCCAAACTCCTAACAGTTGACATTCACGTGTCACTAGCTGCATCCTGCTAATACAAGACACCTCAGTGTTTCTCTAATTTTTCAAAGGTTTTATCTTAGGGTACTTATGAGGCAGTGCCTTTAGTAAATATAGACATGAACACATAACTTTCAGTGTCCTTCATAGTAACATTTTGATTAGTACCTTCGATGAACTAGTAGCGCACTCCAGTTCAGAGATGTAGATTTCAAAGCCAATTCTGGATCTCTGTTCCTCTGGGAGCATTCTGTGACCATGTTAATGCTAAAGTACTATGAAGGGAACAGAGATATTGAGATAACAACACTGGTCTATCCAAGATACATGGTTCTGCAGAACCATTTACCATTTATACTTCCATATTTAAAAACCATGTATAAAGACGCATAGGTAGGAAGGGAAGATTCAGAGGGGGTGCAGTGGTATGGCTGCATCACCTTTTCAGACCATTTCATGGCAACAGCAGTTGAGGACTATTTTAAGTCCCTGAATTAGGTAAGAATCCCACTCTGTTCCTTCCCCTCTATGCTCAGTGGCACATCCCCTCTCTTCCACTCCTATCCCTCTTCTGCCGCTGCCACTGCCACTGTCACTGGTGTTTCTGGCTCCCTCAGTGATGGGCAAGCTCTAGAGCGACTCCTGTCCTGCTGCAGCCAGGCTACGCAGGGAGCCAGGCTCAGCTGGGACAATGGCAGTGGTGGTAGCAGGTGGGTTCCCTCTTCCTACCTAGTCCCCCTGAGTGTTTCACACCAGCCTTCTAGCAAACTCAGAGAGAAAGAAGTTGCTGCTGCTGCTGTCATTGCCCATGGTAGGAGTGGCTCTGAAGCTTCCTCCACCCCCTTGGCAGCTGGGGACAGCAGCAGGGAATGTGAAGGGAAAGGAAAGGAAGGGAAAAAATGTTAAGCATGCAGGGCAGTGTAGGGGGTGCCAAGAGCCTAGGGGGAGCATTTTTTATCTGATTTGGGAACTTAAAAAAGTCCTTGGCTGCTGCTCCTGCAGCTTGCCCTGACATTCCCCAGGGGGGAGGGAAGGGGCGCTTCCTACTTTAAAAAACCTGTATCCCTGCATGTAGATAAGTGCTAATACTAGTAGTAGAGATAAGGAAGGTGAATATTACTAAACAAAACACTTTATGTTACTTGTCTCTTTTACTCTGCATAGAATTCATCATGATCTGCAAAAAGAGGGCATATGACATTCCCTCCTAGAAAAAAACAGTCAAGTTCCTTTATGCCACTGTTCTCTCTCTCACCAAAACCTCTCAGAGAGGTGTCCAAATGTCCAGGACTCTATGTAGTAGGGAACGGTTGGGCAGTTATTATGTCAGGTGAGAAGTTTGCAGAAGTAGGATATAGGAAATATGACCTAATTCAATTCTGGGCTGTTCTTACCTTGCTTTTGTGCCCATGTTTGCCAGTTAGATATATGCAAAAACACTTTGTCATTTGCAAGCTTTTGGGCATGCTCACCCTTCTACAGGCATAGGAGAATGCAAAGGTTGTAAAATTTCTCTTAGGTGCAAATTAAAATTCATGTTTCACAGGATAGCTGAAGGTGTTGTAAGATCTCCTGGTTGGAATAGTTCATTTTGTGCAAATTTTGTTCAGATAAAAGTTGGAATGTTTTTGTGGGGAACTCTTTATAAGGATAGTTCTAGGCCAGCTGCATCAAGAAATGCTACAAGAGCATTATTTCACTAGGGCCAGACTGGGATATTTGGATTTTAGAAGCTGTACAGTCAACACAGAGGACTAGATCCTGCAAGATCCATGGCATTTGTGACCTGGAGACTACAAGCGTGAACAGTGAGGGAACTCTGCAGTGAGTTCCTCCTGTTGGGGGAGGGGACCATCAGGCCCATAAGAATCCAAACTTCATCAAAGTTCACTGGTATTCAGATCCAATGCATGGCTCCAAATCTTTGTCAAACCTCAGACCAACCCTAATCTATTTAGGAAACAAGAACAGGGCTTTGGAGTAGAGTAGTGGGGCTTTTCATACAGAATACTCTTTAGATTTGTGCTCTTGCCTGTACCAATACCTGGGTGGAAGTGTCTTGACTTGGGAAATGGCTCCCCTGAAATTAGGATCCAGCTGACTCAATTCTGTGGGAATGCATCCTTAGAGGAATGGGCGAGACCAGCCACAAAGAAGATAACTGGCTTTTGCTGCATTGATAGAAGAAGCCATAGATTTTTGCTAAGGGCCCTCCTGGAGATAGATATGGCCTTGCTTCACATACCTCTGGATTTGCTGGTTCTGGCCAGGACCAAAAATCTGCTTAACAGTACAAGGTAAGAACTATGCTTCCCATTGAACTTGCCATGCCAGAAGTATGCCAGACTGAATTTATGAGATTACCATGAGGGAATAGGCTCTGTTTCTTTAAATTCTAGAGCATATAACTAGAGAGTAGGAGCTGGGTGGCTCTAAAGTGAATAAGAGAAATAGCAGTTTTAGAAACAAAGCTTGTATTATTTTTTTTTTAAAAATTCCTTGTTGACTGAAAAAAATAATCAGTCTTTATCTGATTAGTTACTATTGTTACAAGAAGCATAAATTCCAACCCAGATTTTTCCCAAATCAAAAATTTAAACTGCTGGAAATGTAACTAAATGGAACGTATTCGAACTTCTGCAAACCACATTTGACATGTATGTACTGCATAAGCATAGTTAGAGTGAAGATTTTCATGCCTGTGTGTCTTTAGCCTTCGTAGTCACTAGGTGCATCTACGTGAACCACTACTACACAGTGATTACTGTGCATTTATTTAGTACTTGTGGCCTGCAAATGCCTTTTTAGTGATGCTGCTGCACAGTAGCCTAATAATATTGGGCAGTAGCATATTAGCACTGTTTGTGCTGTTACGCGCTACTGCACAGTATTAGCTACTGTGCAGTTAGCATCCCGTGTAGATGCACCCACTGTTCTGCAGGACCCCAAATGTTGTTCAGAGCTGAATGTATGAAAATGTTCTTAAAAGAAACACATTGTTTCCATGTTTTCAGCTTCCCTCATCTCTCCTTTGTGATGTAATGTCCTTCAGTCTTCTGTAGAACAGCCCCAAAGAGGTTGTGAGCTTTGTTTCATTCATCAAAACAAAACTAGGCATCTGAATACACTGAGGTAAGAGAGGGCCTTGGACTTGCACATGTCTTTAGGGTTCAGAAATTCTCACAGTGGTCCTGTCTTCAAAGACATCTAAAGGAATTTTTTTCATTTAAAGCAACAACCATTTAAAAGGAAAGAAATAAAGCATTTTAATTTGGCTTGGGGAGTAAATTACCAGAGACATTTTTAGCCACAAGTTGGTTGCAAACTACAGTACATAGACATGCTAGTTTACGACAAGATTCTGCCTGACTCTCTTTCTGTGGGCCTGAAAGAAAAAGCTTTGAGATGACTATGGTATTTTCATATGGAAAGGAAAACACCTACAGCTGCACAGTGGAAACAACTACATGGAAAGCGTTGTTAAAGGCAGACCTCCCATAGGGACTGCCTGTTCTGGTTTGATGGCCAGAAAATCTGCTTACCCTCTGTTAGGTTATCAGGGAAGCAGACTCTCATCTACTTGGGGAAATGAAGATAAATGGTTTTTGATATTCTAAACCATTTCTGTCACTCCACATTTTGTTTTTTACACCCTGCCCCATAGGTCCTGACAAGTAAGATAAAGCAAAGACTCTTAGTAAAAAAGAGTTATTCAGGCATATATCCAGCATCAAGCGACTTCAGCTTTCAGCTCTTCCCTAGAAACCAAGAGACACAGTCAGGCAAGAGAAGCAGCCGAGTTTTCAAAGTGGTGCCACTTGATTGGGGCATGAATCATAGGGGCAGATCCAGTGGGGGTGCTCTACTGCAGTTGTGCCCCCCTTTGATTCCTGCTCCACTTAAACTTTAAAATCACCTGCCTGGGAGGGGCAGTGGCATTGCTATTCAGGCAGCAGGTGTAGAGTATTAACTCAGGTGTAGAAATGACTGACAGTGAAGTATTGGAGGCATGGTCAAGGTGCTCAAGAAGGCTTTGTTTTATGAATCTGGATAACAGATGTGTATTTAACTATAATGACTACAGGACTACTGACACAATATCTTTTGACTATTTTGCCTAGTTTATTGTATTTTTTAAAACTTTATATATAATCTAGCAAATTAGTGCACATTACGGTAGTTATAGGAGGTTTTTCAATAATCTTAAACTGAATAATATAGTGCTAGCCCCTTAGCATATTAGTAAAGCATCTAGCTTGTCTTTAAGTGGAGAAAAATGTGCTGTGTTATATGTGATGATGTACCACACCACCTGCACCCCACTTTTCAAAATCCTAAATCCACCCATGATGGGGGCATATGTTTAATCAGGAGAGTTTTGTGATATGCATATATCCATAGTTAAGGGTGCTCCATGTTAAAAACTGTAGCCTGTTAACTATAGCAATATAGGTGAAAAGTAATACAACTCCCCTTTTGTAGATACGTTTGTAGACATATAGCTATACTCCTGTGTAGGAAGGGGAACAGTGATTTTCATCAATAGGCATCAAAGTGCTTTAGAAAGTACTAATCAAATCACTACTGTTTCCATTTTAGAGCTGGGGCAAAAGTGCCCACAATCAACCATCAGGCCAGTGTAAAGAGCCAGGGATTCCCATCCACTGCTTTACTCATTAGGCCACACTAAATAAATTGCCCAGAATACAGTACTTAGAAATTGATATAACTGCATCCACCCTAGCAGCTATCCTGGAAGAACTACAGCAGTAAAACACCATATACCTAATAAACATAGCTGTACTAATGTGAAATCAGTGTGTTAACCAGACCTAAACAGGTATTTCAGTCTTGGTCTGTGCTTTCTAAGCAGTTCTCCTTTCTTATGCTCATTACTTTTGGCTTGTTCCCATGCTCCCAGTCTGAGAGTCAGGCTTGGGGGGTAAAGGAAGGGGAAGGTTTGCCTTTCTACATATTCCATGCAACTTGAAGATGTGGAGATGCTTTTGTCCCTTACTGTACTCATTGGGAGGTCAGTGTGGGAGTGCAGCAGGAAACAAAATCTTTGGTGGGAGGGGAGGGCTATGTGTGACCTCAGATTCACCCAATAACTTCTAATACTACTGCCAATGTGCTCATACTAGGCAGGTGGTTCCTCAAAAGCTACTTGCTTCCCCTCCCTGCAATTATAGTGTTCAACCCATCATTCCCCAGCCCAGAGAGCCTTCAGCTCAGCCCTGAGCATGAGGATAAGTGGGGATGTCTACTCCCTTTGAACAGCATGCAATCTTGGTAAATGAAATAACAGAGAGAGAGAGGGAATGAGAGGAGCAAAATCTAATGGGGGGGCAGAGAGGAGGGCAGGAAAGTGGAAATGGATAGAAATAAAGAAAGATGTTGCTAATGTGGGGCAAGGGGACTCATTAATCCCATGCAACGTGGGGTTCTAGCAAAGGGTTTGGAACCACAACTATTAGACTGAATTGGCCAGGGCTTTGGTTTTTGTTATCCTGCACTGCCCTCTTCTGGTACCAGCCTTCACAGTGTGACAAATGGGGACCCTTGTCCAGTTGCAATCATTCTGCAGAGTGGGGAGTCAGCAACGTGGGCATATAGGAACCAAAGACCAGAAGGGACTTCCGGGGCCATCCCAAAGAGGCCAAAAGATCATCTACTTTGCTCCGTCTTTCAAACCTGTGGTCAAAGCACCCTATAAAAACACCTCTATAAAATGCCACAGATAAATACCAGAGGAAGAGCGTCTTCCTGTCACAACGTCAGGGAGACTGTTAGGTGAATATTTCCTCATAAGGTTTTAGGAAGCAGATCAGGCCCCAGGCTACAGAGGCTGGCAAAAAAAACTAGACAAATTCCATGTTTTGACATTATAATAAAGCACAGTGTGGGTGATCACCAGCTGTGATCAGCTGTACAGCTATTCAGACATGTCATTCTGTGAACACTGAGTAAGAGGAACGCTCAATCTTTGGGCTATGAATTCCCTTATTGCAACTGTTGGTAGAGCACAGTATCACTCTGAATTCACCATAACCGATTCAATTTTCAGCATGATTGTGGGGATTACACTGCGCACATCTGCCAAAGACAAAGAAGGAAAGGGATGATGAGATAAAGGTCAGCTGTATAAACTCTGTGGGTTCATCATCTTAGTTTGAGACTACAAGTAGGCATAGCTTTAAAGAGTACTTTGGAGGATACATGTTATTCCTATCTAACCCCTGCTCTACAGGGAGTCCAGCTGAACAGTGGGGTCAAACTTGGATGAAACTGAGAGGGATCAGGGCTCATCATAGGGTATCTCCGAGACTCCAGGAAAATAACAGAGTTAAAAGGAGCAACACTGACTTTCTAGATTTTAAGAAGCCCCCTTTGTACTACTCTAGGGCTCTCATTTAAGATATCAACACAGTTCAGCAATTTTAAACACATTTTGAAGCAGGCAGAGGTTGTTATACCTTGCTTTATAGAGGAAAAAACTGAAGATAGAGAAAAATAGAGGTTAATATCAAAATGAATCTTAAGAAATGAAGCTGCCTTTGTTTTAATCAATGACTAGACCAGTGAGGGCCAATCTTTCTAGCAAGCATGCCACAAATTAAGCCTTAAGTCTTCCCCAAGTGCCACTCTGATTCCCCTACCTGATTTATTGCTCTGCTCTCTGCTCTGTGTTCCCTGCCTGATGATGATGCTGTTTTCTGCTCCTTGTCCTGTGCTCCCTACCTGATCTGCTTTCTGCTCCCTCCCCTATCTCTTGCTGCACTGTGTGCTCTCTCTCTGATGTGCCATACCAGAAGATGCCCATGCCACTTGTAGCATGTGTGCCACAGGTTGGCTACCCCTGGACTAGACAATCTCTGTATATACTAAAAAGATTAACAATGCCTATTGGCTAACTGCAGTCTATATCTATGCAGTAGAAACCAATCTTTGTTCTCCTTTTTACTTCATTTAGTATATATGGAGTAAGGGATACATCCAACAATTCCACTACAGCAGCCACATTAGTGAAATGTCTGTATCCTGCTCAATGCAGTACAAGTTATACAAAAACAGAATAGTCCTCTCAGTCTGAGCAGAAGCATCATTCTGTAAATTAGTTCTTCCTCTCCTGGGGGATGAGGGGTGGAAGGGTGAGGAAACTCTGATTTTGACTCTTCAGTCAGTTGAAAGGGAAACACCACTATGAAAATAAATGTTGGGGAAATAGTGCTGGGGAATGCCTCACTGAGAAACCCCCTCTAAAACTCCATCCCTAGGCAAATACATTCCTGGGGGAATGCCCCTGCCCCATTTAATTAAATCCCCCCTGTTAACTAACTTCTGGAAAGAGTGTTTTATAACAGGCAAGCAGAGTCCTGCAAACAGCCTGCAAGTGAACTACATTCTGCCATTACTCTACCCTAATTAGGGCTAGCCTTATAACACTACACCTGGGCGTTGTCTTGTGATTAAATTCACAAAGAGTTTAAGGTGTTGTACCAACTAACTTTAAGCATGCAGATGCCTAGTGGGCTCCTCAGTCTGGAGTTAGGTGCTTAGGTTTCTGGGACTGGGGAGAGTTAGGTTGCAAGAATGGGAGTGATGTAAGCTACAAATCCCATACATGCTATACAAAGAGACACAAGGAAGTTCCTCGCACAGCCTTGGGTGGGCAAACCAGTTGCTTTAGTCCAGACTAAGTCTAGGAACTGGCCACGGTTAGAAGTACAAAGACAGTTCAGTACTATGCGTTGGGGCTGGGGTAGTACAGGTGCTAAGGCACATCGTTGATTGCCCAGAGGCTGCAAGTTCATAGGCCATAGGAGAAGCACTCGCAGCACAACCTCTCAAAGTCCAGTGAATCTGAAAATCCTGTTAAATACCTTGTTACCAGGGTGTGAAAAAAGAAAGGAAGCCCCGTGCACTGAAATGTTAACCAAGGATGTAGGTAGACCCATCTCCATGTGAAAATCTCATCATAATGGCTCTTAAGACAGGTGTCAACTGTCTTAGCATAGCTACCTGGGGATAGCGCATACTCAGGCAAGAGTTACCATAGCTCATAAGCTGAACAAATTGCTTACAGACAGTGGAGGAACAAGTGATTCTACAGAGAGGGAAGAGGAAGAAAAATAGCAGGGGGAGCAGATCTACAGTTTCATGTACAGCAAATGCACACGAATGTGTGATATTTCTTTTTTATAGATTCAACATGCTGCCAGTTCAAACCATGGCTAGAAGTCACCCTAAATGAAACTGAAGAACACATGAAGAACAATTGTGGTGGCAACTGAGCCCCCTGGTCAGAGGTGTAACTTTAAATGTTGGTGCCCTGGGTGGCATGGGGTAAGGAGTGAGCTCTTACCTCCTTGTGCAGGTGCTGCTGTGGAAGTGGACTCATGGGCAGCTGCTGCCTCAGGGTCAGCTCCTGCAGCTATGGCTTCAGCAGTGGTGGTAACAGAAGTTCAGGTTCCCTGGAAGCTGCCGTTCTGGTGCCCACTTCAAATTATTCCCCTTCCCCAAGTTACACTTCTGCCCTTAGCTCTCTGTCTGGGAGTTACTCAGCTACCTGGGAGGTACCTGAGCCCTTGCAAGGGAAGGAGGGAGGGAGGGCAGACAACAGGACAGTACTGCCATGAAACAGTTATAAGTTATAACCTTCAACCACAGTACTTCAAATGTTTCAGGGTCCCAGCAACCCAGGGAGGGAAAAGAATCAGATACACATTAAGCAGTTTCCTGTGCTGAGCTACAGACAGCTGCCAATCAGCACAGCCTCCCCAGTCAGACAGGAAAGAAACCACAAGCTCTTCCCTCCACTCTTCCCTGTGGCTCTCCCCACATCACTGACACTCCAACAGACTACTTTTTAATGGGACCAAGGCAAAGCCCAAAGTCTACAAGGTACAGTAACTAGAGGCACAGACAGGACACTAGTTGGATACAGATGCCACAACAAAGAACATCTGGATAGGAAGAGGTTCTCTGTGGCCCCAGAGATTCACAGATTCAGGCAATGCACATGCAGAAAAGTTCAAGTATGTAGGTACCCAGAAGTTAGCTGGAGAAAAATCCAGAACTCATGCTGTTTCTAAAGTTCCCCAGCTTCCTACTTTTCACTTCATGGCCAGGCATTACCAGTTTAAACTCTGGGAATGTTATCATCCCCGGTTGCAAGGCAGCTCTAGTAACGGTGCAGCCATGCTGGTGAGCAGTCAGAAAAGCAGCTGGATTAGGTGTTTAAAATGGCAAGCTGAGTAGCCCCACTGTGGCAGCTCTGCCTGATTGCATTTCATAGCTGCTAGGGTGTTGCTGGACTTAGCACCTAGACGGAAGCACAGACCTCAGGGAAAGCTGGGAGCTGAGCACTCCCAGGCTCAATTTTCAAATCACCTAGAAGCACTATGTTTGAATAACATAACTTAGCTGCTATTCAGCTTGCAGTGTGAGAGGTTCTGGGTTTGGGTGCAGTGAGAGAGGCCTTGTGGACACTGCCTCAGTTGCAAGAGAATTACCTTTCTTGAGAAAGAAATTATGAAGGCATGAATGTGCAAGTATGATAGCTGGGAAGTTCAGACAGTGCCTGAATGGCATGAGAGTTCATAAATTGGTTTTCTTATCAACCAGAGTAAGGCTATTGCTTGGAAAATGGAAGGATTTAGAAAGGTGAACTTTGATCTGTTGGTAGACATTAGGGCTGTTTAAAGCTTCAGTCCCTGATTCAATTTGGTGGAGATTCGGCCTGGTTTGGTGGTTGGGGAGGCATTGGGGGGGTCAGGGGGAGGCAGCATAGAATTATAGAATCATAGAAGTAGGGTCAGAAGGGACCTCGTAGATCTTCAAGTCTGACCCCCCGCCTGGGCGGAAGAAAAACTGGACTCAAATGAGTCCAGCCAGGTAGGCATCAAGCCTCGTCTTAAAGACCCCCAGGGTAGGAGCCAGCACCACTTCCCTTGGAAGTTGGTTCCAGCTCCTAGCCGCCCTAACTGTGAAGTAGCTCTTGCGGATGTCCAATCTATACCTACTCTCCAACAACTTGTGTCCATTATTTCTTGTTATGCCAGGGGGTGCTAGGGGAAACAGTGTCTCCCCCAAACCCTTCTGGTCCCCCCTAGTGAGTTTATAGACAGTCACCAGGTCCCCCCTC